GCATGTGTGCATGGATTTCGTTGTTCATTCGTTTAATGCTGATACAAACAAAGGACAAATTATGGTCTTTTTAAATAATTGATTTTCTCCCCCTAGGCTGACATGCTCATTATTTTAGGGGTGAGGCACAAAAAAGAATTAATAATTTATGAAAACTGCCCCGTTCTGTGGAGAATTACTACCCTTTTCTGGAGATAGCTTTTGTATAGGGTAAATGTGACAGCAACCTCATCTGAAAGGTAGTGGTGCTCTATTTACTGGTCTTAGAATTACTAATATAGGGGAAAAATCCTGCCTCTTGAACTTTTCTAGAGGTATTGTTGTGATCAACTGAGCCTAGCTGCCAGTGAAAAGGATGAGTATGATATCAGCACTGAGATAGTTTGGAATTGGTCTTTCAATTTGATCAAAATTCAAAGGGACTGCACCTATAGCAGCTCGACTGGATTCTACTCTGAACTGAAGGATGGAACACAACTGGGAAACCAGTACCTTTTGTTTCAATGTGGATGGCAGGATAGGTAGGTGTGGTGGGAAGTAAGTCAGACAGCATGTCTCCAGGTTCATTTATGAAGGAGGAGGATATATGATAGGGGTGGACAATTATATGGGCTGGAGGGCCACTTAAGGAGTTTTGGTGAGCTGTTGGGGTGGGGAAATTAATCCTATCCAGCCTGCTGACCACTACCAGGAGTCTGGGGAAGAAGGGCTGTGACCCATGCTGCTCTGCTCTGTCACAGCCGGGGCAGGCTGGGTAGCATGCAGACTTCTCTGTGCCCACATGCTGTTGGCACTACACAGTCCTGCATGGGATGGGGCACAATGCAGTGTGCCAAGTAGCTGCCCTGCCTCCGTGTTGTTTCATAGTTTCATAGTAGCTAGAGTCAGGAGGGACCTGATTAGATCATCTAGCCTGACCCCCTGCCACAGGCAGGAATGAATGCTGGGTTTACAAGACCCCAGACAGGTGATCATCTAACCTCTTTTTGAATTTGCTCAAGATACGGGCGAGGACCACTTCCCTAGGAAGTTGGTTCCAGATTCTGGCCACCCTAACTATAAAATATTGCCTTCTGATCTCTAACCTAAACCTATTTTCCATCAGCTCATTACCATTGTTCCTTGTCACCCCAGGTGGTGCTGGGAAGACTAGGGCTCTTTGCTGATGATCTCCCCTGATGAGTTTGTAGGAAGCCACCAGGTCCTCCCTCAGCCTCCTCTTGCTGAGGCTGAACAGGTTCAGGTCCCTCAGTCTCTCCTCATAGGGCCTGTCCTGCTGCCCTCTCACCAAGTGGGTGGCCCTCCTCTGAATTCTCTCCAGCCTGGCCACATCTTTTTTAAAGTGCGGCTCCCAGTACTGGACGCAGTACTCCAACTGCAGCCTGAGCAAAGTCACATAGAGGGGGAGTATCACCTCTCTGGACCAGCTTGAGATGCATCTTTGGATGCATGACTAGGTACGGCTGGCCTTGCTGGCTGCGGTCTGGCATTGGTGGCTCATGTTCATCTTGGAGTCAATAATGACTCCAAGATCCCTTTCCACCTCTGTGCTTTCAAGAGGGGAACTCCCCAGCCTGTATGTATGCTGTGGATTCCTTCTCCCAAGGTGCAGCACCCTGCATTTGTCTACGTTGAACCCCATCCTATTCTCATCTGCCCACTTTTGTAGCCTGTCTAAATCTAGTTGCAGCCTCTCTCTCCCTTCAAGTGTGTCCACCTTGCCCCACATCTTAGTGTCATCAGCAAACTTGGACAACGTGCTTTCAACCCCCTCGTCCAAGTCGCTGATGAAGATGTTAAACAGTGCAGGCCCGAGGACCGAGTCCTGGGGGACCCCACTGCTCACATCACGCCAGGTTGAGTATGACCCATCCACCACTACTCTCTGGGTGTGCCCCATCAGCCAATTTTTTACCCATCCAACTGTGTAGGCATCAATGCCACAGTCGCCTAATTTACTAATGAGAATGGGATGAGAGACAGTGTCAAAGGCCTTCTTAAAGTCTAGAGAGACTACGTCCATGGCAACACCATCATCCAAGGATTTAGTTACTTGGTCATAAAAGGCAATCAGGTTCGTCAGGCCACTGATGGGCCACTGCATCACACCAGGAAAGTTGGGGATGGCTAGCCCAGGCTGAGTCCCACACCCCACCCAACCACGCCCAGCAAGCATTAGTGGCACTGCGGTGGTAGCAGCAGTGGCAACAGTTCATCACAGTGAGTGAGATGGCTACTTGGTATGCTGCATCATGCTACATCCTGAGAGGGGCTGGCTACCAGTAGTCACGGTACCAGTACTGCACAGCCAAAGCACCAAAAGGAATCCAGGCAGGGGGTAATAGATGCAGGGAGGAGGGCCAAGGAGTCTGTGCGCTATGTGGCTAAGCTTGACCCTGCCTGCTGCAGAGAAGAGTGGCCCAGGGCGCAGTCCTCCCTTCTCTTGGCAGCGGCAGCCAGGCACGTCGGATAGGATCAATTGGTGGGCTGGATATGGCCCTCAGTCTGTATTTTGCCCACCCCTGATATAGGATGTTAAGAGGAAAATACCCTTCCAAACATATATTTAAAAAAAATAAAAAATTTAAGGCCCCCTCTACCTGTGCAAGTAAAGGCACGATGGGATCTAATGCGTGATTCATATAATCATGCCTCCTGCCCTGCCACATGTGCATAGCAGGAAGAGCAATCGTGGGATTACTTGTTAGATCCTATGTACCTTACTGCTGGTGCAGCGGGAGCCCAATCCCAGGCTCCCCTTGGACTGCCAAAAAGCAAGCTCTCACAGCTAGGAGCCTTCCACACCCCATTTGAGAGGCTCCCAGCTGTGAGCCCCACGCATCCCCAGGACAGAGGGGAATCACTGTGGTGATGCCCACTCCCCAGGGGTGCATGAAACTCTCAGAGTAGGAGGATTGCTGCAGGGGTGATCCCTCCATCCCAGGGGTGTGTAGAACACTTGAAGCAGGTGAGTCACCAGAGGGGTAATCCCCCAATCCTGGGGTTGTGTGAAACCCCCGGGGTGGGAGGATCACTACAGGGCGATCTCTATTGCAACCCCCTGTGGTGATCTCCCTGCCCCCGGGGTGCGTCAAATCCCTGGGGGCAGGAGGATCGCCCCTGCAGGATGGGTGGGGTGCTGCTGAGACCCAGACTCTGCAGCTGCTAGGGTTGAGAGTCCCTAACAGTTGTAGGACTCACGCCTAGGTGGACAAGGTGCAGTCCTATGGCTGGGAGCTGTATCAGCTGACAGGAGTCCCAGAAAAGTGAGTATTGCATGCTGGTGTGGAGTCATGTGGAAAATATAAAAAAAAAGAGAAATGGGATTTTGTTACTTTAAATCAGAAGTCCTCCAGGACTTCTTGGGTATAAGCTCCAAAGGGATAAGGTACACATCTGAAAGATGCAAGGGCAGCAGAGCCTTATTAGCAGCTTCTATGGCTGTGCGAAATTTCGGGAGTCGTTTAATTTCGGAGGTGTTTCAGGCTGTTTCAGCACCCAAAACACTAAATCCGAATCAAAATGGAAGCCTCAGAAACATCTCCAAAACAAAATAAGGCGTCCAAAATGTTTTGGAAATGTTTCAGAACATTTCAGAGTTTCGGAGCTGGGCTTACAGGGAAACAGCTGTATGTTGCTCCCCTGCTGCGCAACTCAGCTCCACAGGGAGCAGAGATCCACGCCAGGGGTATCCTCACCGCCGCTGCCCACCCTGCACTGCCCTGGCGATGTAAGAACTGCACGGGGCGAGCAGCAGTGGTGAGGAGACCCCGACGTGGATATTTGCTCTCTGCGGAGCCAGGTTGTACGGCAGGGCATGCTAGTCCCTGCTGCGCGACCTGGCTCCACAGGGAGCAGAGATCTGGGGCAGTGTGGGGAGGGCAGCAGCGGTGAGGAAACCCCTGGCATGGATCTCTGTTCCCTGCAGAGCCAGGTTGCATGGCAGGGATCAGCAGACTTGCTTGCCACTCTGTGCTGGTTCCCTGCCTCGTTACTCAGCGTGACACGGATCAGAGATCCACGTGGGTGTCTCCTCACCTGCACGGAGGGCACCGGCCTTCCCCTTCCCCCGGACAAGCCACCACACCCCGTCCTGCTCCTGGCTGGGGCCCCACAACCCCCCCCCGGCCCCAAGCCCCGCCCGGCTGGGTAGGGCTGTGAAAAGCTTCTCTTGCAGCCTGTTTGAAACAGATTCAGAGGGGATTCAGCAGAGCTGAAACAGATTTGACTGAAACAAAACAGGACAGTGATCTGAAACACTGAAATGAATCACTGTCCTCCGAAACGGCTGAATCTGAAACCGAATCGAAACACAGCCATTTCACACAGCCCTAGCAGCTTTCCCACAGCTGCAGCTACTTAACAGAGCTGGTTACTCCTTCTTAAGGGGACAGACCCCCCCTGTTAACAGGTTTTTAAAATAATTTCTGGAAACTGAATTATAGGGGAGGTCTATGCCATCATCTCTTGGAAAACTTTGGAAGGGCTGAAATAACGTGACAGAAAAATGCAGTATTTAACTGTACTCCTTCAAACCCAGTGCTAATATAGTGTTGGCAGGCCAGGAAGATAGTTGAGTTCTTCGATCCTTGCCAGTGAAGCCCAATAGTAACATCAGTCTCTAGTTAGCATGCTCACTGGTAGGGACATACTCAAGGAATGGGCTTTGTTGAACATGTTTCTTCTGTTCTGCCTGCTGCTGCATCAGCAAAGCAAAACAGACAGTAGGACTTTTTTTTTTTTAAAGACAGATTAGTGTTTTGTTTTGTTTGTTTTTTAATATGTTCAGGAACAGATTGAAACATGTAAATAAGTGTGTGGGCATAATCCAGAGATCACTCCCACAACATTCTAGCTGTTTTAGAGCAGGTAAAATTTTGGATCTAAATTGACAGGTTCCCTATAAAAAAATTTGGACTATATTCATTCCTCTAGCTCACAAAATGGGAAAACATAAGATTGTTAAGCAAATGTATATTAGTTTCAAATCACCAGCTCACCTGTGCCATAGGAGTAGGCTGATTTTGCAAAGCTGCCTGGGGCAGCAGCTGCTGTGGGAGAAGTTCACATGATGGCTGAGAAGGCAAAGATGCCTAGGTTTAAAAAAAGAAAAAGCTTTATTCAGTGCACAACTACTCCAAATCTCAGGTCACCTCCTAAAGCAATGGTTTTTCCTATTAAACTAGTACATGGCACATTGTCCGGTAACTTTTCATCTAAGACTTCTTGGCTTTAAGACCATGTGTAAAGGTACCTGAAGTGTGGTAGGCTGACTGAGTCTTTTTATGGCCAAATCCTGCTGTATGCTGGGTGCTCTTTGTAGGGAAGGAGTGGTAGACTCTGTGATCAGCTTTGTTGGTGTAGCTGTAAGAGAATATATAGTAAGATCTTGCATGCTGAAGTATCACCACTGCTTAAAATCAGACTCATGATAAGATGTGATCAGAAATTATATAGATGGAGTCAAATTCCCAGTAAAGTCAAGGATGACCTTTCTACTGACTCTGCTTGACATGTGAATTAGGCTTATAAGAAGGATGATGGTAAAATGGACCAGATTCTCAGCCCGTTTAGTGGAACAAAAGGCCCAAAAAGCTGTCTTTTGCATAGGCAAATCCCTTGCTAGTGCAGACTTAGACTATGGCACAATATTTGAGGGATTTATAGGTGCATCAGGGGTATAGTTAAAGTTCCTTGAGTGCCAGCAACCCTGGACCAGTATAATAGCACCTGGACACTGCTATGCTGTTAGAAGTCAGAGCAGTCTGAAGCTCCCCAGTTGATGATTTCATATTTAGAGAGCACAGCAACCACTACGATTTTCTAGCCTGACTTGGTGTATAACACAGGCAGCTATATTTTCACTAATAATTCTTGAATCAACTTCTGGTTGGGTTAGAGCAGCTCTTTTAGTAAGATATTTTATCTAGAGGTAAACACTTGGAGGGAAGATGAAGCCGTTTCCTTTAAACAGTTGTACGAATGGTTAATTACCCTCTCTCCTAAAAATGTATGCCTTATTTCTAGTCTGTAGTTCTCTAGCTCCTACATCTAGCCTTTGAATCTCATGCCTTTTTCTGTGTGACTGAAGAATGCTCTGTCAGAAATTTCCCCCTCAGAATATTTCAACCATGACCTAAGCCTTCTCTTTAATAAGTGAAATAGATTGGCCTGTTCTGTCTCTTGCTATCAGTCGTGCTCTTTAGAACCTGAAACATCTTTTATCTGTTTTTTTTCTTTTATGACCCTTCCAACTTTTCAACATCCTTACTGAAGTACAGACATGGTATTCTAGTCATGGTCTCACCCAGTACCATACACAGAAGTATTACCATTTCTCTACTCCTACTCAAAATTTGCCTCTTTATATACCCAAGAATTCTGTTAGTTCTCCTTGCCTCCCCACCTTGCCTGGGGAGCTTATATACACCCCTCTACATATAATCTATATTCTTTGCTTTAAGATACGTGTTGATACTTTTGGCTGTGTTAAAAAAAATCATGAATAACTTCTGAATTTAGCCTAGAATTTCAGAACTGTCCAGCTCAGAAGTTTATTGACTTCCAGGATGATACAGCATGTGATAGCTGGGAACTGTGCCCAGCAATTTTTGTCTTAGGAACAAAAATGCTCCTTATCATAGAACTTATGAACAGCAAGTATCATGACTAGCATCACTTTTCCCAAAGCTAGATAAATTACTATATTGGATTCTGGACTCTCCCATCTTATATTGTACATGAAATACCCATGTGTGGGTGACAGATTTGAGACACATGTTCTCATTACCATCAGCATCTTTCCACTAACTTCACTAACATAAGTGATGCACCTTGTCCCCTTTTCTCCTTGGCAATTTGGTTATTTTATAATACAACAATAACACTAACTCAGGCACATCACTCACCTGCAGGGTCAGACCTGGGTGTGTGGGAAGATTTGTGTGAGCTCCTAGATGATACAGAGGTTGTCCGACTTGTGTTAAGAACTGAGGCACCTATTTCAAGTGCATTAAAGTGCTGTTCAGGATCCAGGCTTGACCCATTATCCTAAAATTACAAAAAAAGTAACAATGACACCTATAAGGGTATGATGTTTTGTCCAGTATATAACCGCACCTAGAGGTCAGAGCTTCAGCTGGTGTTAACTGACTTTCATACAGCTGTTTCAATTATCACCAGCCAAAATTGTAGGCAAAAGTGTCTATGGCGGTGGTTGGCAGCCTGTAATAAGCCATGGGCTGGAACCTGGCTCTGGTCTAATGTGTGCCAGGTGGCTTTGGCAGCATGTCAGTGATGGTGGGGATGCTTTCCCCGCATCCTGCTGAGGCACTGTCTTCTAGCCCCACCACCCCAGCTCCATTCAGGTTCAGCTTCCCAGCTGGTGGGAAGCTATGCTGAGGCTGGGTTGCTGCAAACTGCATGCATGCTGCTCATGCTTCTTTTTCCTCTCCCTCTCCCCACTCTCCTGCCTTGCCTTCCAGCTGCAGCACAGAAACAGTTGGAAGCTGCAGGGCTCCAAACCAGCTCCTCTATCTGCACCTGTGCCAGGACCAAACAGTGAGGAGCTGGGCTGGGGTGGGGGGACAAGGGGAAGTGGCTGCAGTGTAGGTGCAGTTGCTGCTTCTCTCTGTGTACCGTCCCTCTGGCTTCAGCACACATGCGGCTTACAGCATGCAGAGAGCTATGCTGGGGTTGGGCAGCTTCCAACTGTGCCTGCGCTGCAGCTGGGAGGCACAGCAGGGCAGGTGAGGAACAGAGAGAGGCAGTGGCAGATATAGGGGAGGCAGACAAAGTCTGCACTTCCCCGGTGCCAGCACAGCCCCCCACTATCTGGAAACTGAGCTCACATGCAGCCAAGGAGCAGGATGGAGGCCATATGTTGCTGACCCCTGGTCTACGACATCTCCTTTTATTGTCTCTTCTAGATGCATATAAATTAGATTTACTCGGTTTGAGATGTTGCAAGCTATTGCCCTGTCATTTGGGGGCAATTCACTCCAGTGAATTGCATAGTCTTTCTTTCACCTTGTGTGGGAAGTGACCAAAACTGGAACCTCTCAGATCTATCAGGTAGTGCAAAAAATTGGACGTTTCTGTTCTTCTGGAGGAAAGTTTCTTACAGTTTCAGGAAATATGTACGTCTGTGTGTTAGGTTGAACTGGCATTTCTATATGAACCCTGTTTTTCCAGGGCTAGGGACAGATATTACACATAAACTGGTTTAAGTGATCAGAAACTAGTTTAAACCTGTAACAGAACAGACATTCAGTGCACATAAATCAGCTTCAAAATGGCCAAAACCGGTTTGAGATAAACCTGGCTGAATGTAGTATCAGACTTAACTGATTTGGCTCAGACCAGTTTATGTACTGTCTATTCCAGACCCCTTGCTGGTTTAAGTTAAACCAGACTCCCCCAGGAACCCAGCATCCTCTCTGGGATGGGCAGGGCTCTCTTCTCCACAGCAGGGCTGGCCCTTCCCCTCTGCTCCCTGGCTGCAGCTCTGGCAGAGAGCTGCAAGCACAGCAGCATCTGCTTGGCTTCCTCCTGCTCTCCCCCTCCCCTCACCACTAAGCAGGGATCTCCCATTCCCTCTGCCTTACACAGACACCTCTCAGCCTTAGCTAGCAGACCACATGCTGGCTATGGTCCGTGCTGTGGCAGACAGCAGTGTCAGTTTAAGTGTTTTTGGAGCTAATCAACAGCGCAGATGGTAATGTCTCTCTGTTCCTTCTTTAAGAAGAGTTTGAACTAATGATAGAGGCTGTTTGTTTTCTGATGGGGTGATAAATGGTGATAACAGATCTGATAACTGCTCTGTTATCAAGGGAAGGGGGAACCCCTCCCTAATCCTGCTGGGGCCTGGCCACACCCCACTCAGGTCAGTCCTGTGGAAGGGAAGGGAGGGCTGCTCTAGCACACCCCCAACTTCTAGCCTGAGCCACTGCAGACATGTGCCTGCATGTCTGGGATGTTTGTGTAGTTACAAAGTGATTTAGCTTAGCCAGGTTAGACTAACCTGCAAAATTTGAATGAATTCAGGCTCAGGCTTTTTGAATGTCTGTCCCTAGCTCAGCTGTAATGAAACTTGAACCGTATCCATTCCAGTCTGGAATTTAGCACAAAAGTCAACACAGGAGTGAATTCACTAACAGTAGTATAAATATGTTTTGAATTAGGAAATTTTAGATGTTTTTTGTGCACCAGCATCATCAACAATCCCTCTCAGTCCAGAAAGACTGTTTTCCATGATTGTCTTATCTGTGGGTTCAAAGACGGCTGACAAGGTCTAGCTGGGATCAACAGACCATTGCAGCTTGGGCACATGTTTCCGTGCAAGGTGGGTTATTCTAGGTTCTTGATTTGGTCCATGATATTCTGTTTCTACCACTCAAACTTTTCCATATCCTGTTGTCATCATCAGGTTTCAAAGTGCTGAGACCGTTGCAGCAGACTTTTCCTCCATTTGGGGCGGTCCTGGGGGATACTCTCCCATGAGTTGATGTCAATGTTACATGTTTTTCAAGTTGGCTGTGAGGCTGTCTTTGAAGCACTTTCTCTGCCCTCCTCTTGAGCATACACCTTGAATAAGCTGGGAGAACAAAACTTCCTTCAGGAATCTGGAGTTGCACACCCGGATGACGTGGCTGGCTCAGTGAAGTTGATGTCAGATGATCATTGCCTCAATGCTTGTGCTGTTTGCTTGTGAGAAGATGCTAATGTTGGTGCTATCTTCCCACTGGATTTGAAGTATGTTCCGCAGGCAGCACTGATGGTATTTCCTCAGTAGCTTGATATCTGTACCTGTATGTTGCCCACATCTCAGCTCCATACGGCAAGGTGGGGGTTTTAGATCTGATGTTGAGATCTTCGAACACCCATTTCCTCAGGCCTCCAATGGCTGTACTTGCGCATCTGAGGCAATGTTGGATTTCTTTATTGATGTCAGACTTCTGTGAGAGATGTCTTCTGAGGTATGGGAAAACTCAGCATTCTCCAGAGTCTCACTGTGAATGTGAATTACCAGAGCTTGGGACTGCTCATTAAGAGCTTGTTGGTGAAGGACCTTAGTCTTCTGAATGTTAAGCATCAGTCTCATTTTCTCGTATGCCTCGGTAAAGACGTCGATTATTACCTGAAGGTCTGCTTCTGAGTGAGCACATGCTACAGCGTTATCATGGAGCTTGATGACTGAGGTCCGTGTTCTTCATTTTGGCTCAGTCAGCTGTGATTAAACAGCTTACCAACCCTTCAGTAGTTTAGCCCCACTCTGACTGGAAGCTTGTTGGTGGTCAGATGTAGCATCATGGTAAGGAATATTGAGAAGAGTATTGGAGTGATGACACACCCTTGATTAACTCCCATCTTAACCTCAAAGGGATCTGTGATAGATCCATTATTGAGAACCGCTGCTTGCATACCATTATGGAGCAGGCAAAATTACGCACAATTTGTACATAATTGTGCATTAATAAACAACTATTGTATGTTCTATATTAAAATGCAGGATGCAGTTCCCTGGCAAGATGAGTTATTGTCAGAAGATCATCTAAGCACCCCCAAGAAGAGTCTCATTCATAAAAATGAGACTCTTAGTCAAAGATGTAACACTCTGTCAAGGAGGAATGTTGAAATTTATATTGCCACTGCTCGTGTCTTTAGTGTTTCACAGTGAACTCTGATTTCCAAGTCTGTCAGTTTTATGAGCATTTCCAATTCACTTAAATATCTGTTTGAGAGATCAGTGAATTCTGAAGTACAAAAGTTATGGAATACACCTAAATCTGTAGGGCTAACAGGACTCTGAAGCTGTTAGAACAAAAATGAGTCACAATTGCCAACATGGACCCTATATACACACACATTTGGTTGTACCTTTAGTGCTGAAGAGACAACTTCTGAGGACCCTTCTTCCAAGCCCAATTCTTGTCTCCTTTCTACTTGAACATCTGCATAACTGATTGGAAAATACAGCTGTATGTGAGTAACAGCAATACACTGTCATATTTTATTGAATGTACTTTAAATACAAGGAGCAGCATTAAATGTTATTGACACTCATTAAAGGATAAATAAACAAGTAAAAATCATGAAATCAAGTTGTGTTGTACTGCCTATCATTTGAAGGGCTAGTTTTTTGTTTTCAATTTCTGTTTCATCTTTCTATTCAAAAACAAAAAATAATATTAAACGCAATTAAGATTGAAAATGTGTTTTGGGAGCCAAGATTACACCACAAAGCCATGTTACATTTTTTTCCCACAATGTTCTACAGTTTTTTCAAAGGATCAAATACAGTTAAACCTCATTTGAACAACCCTTGTTTATAACAAAACTGCTTTTAGCAATCACAACACCGAGAACCGACTTTTCCATCATAGTGAAGCAGCAAGCTGACCAAACCAATTACAGTGAGCACCTTCTTTAGTGAACTTTTCTCTCAGTCCCATGGGGTTTCATTATAATGAGGTTGTACTGTATGAGAACACTGGGAATGAACAGCTATGGACCTCCTAATTTCCTGACGGCTACATGACCCCTCATCACTCACGTTCATCCTACTATTTATTGAGATCAGAATCTGTAAATCCCCAACATGGTGAGTGCTTCAACCAACCCCCTATTATTAGGTGACGGGGGGTGAGAGTCTACCAGGTAATGGACATCATAGGGCTACTTGCAATGGCCTTATGGACTGATGTCTCAAGGTTAACTGTAGCAGGCAATGGAACATGACCTCAATACCTTGGGAAGTTTTAAACCCCCAGAACATTAGAGTTTTATTTGCTCTGAAACACATTCTGAGCTTTACTTGGCTATACTGTCAGATCCTTTCCAAACAACACTTGGAATATCCTGTTGCTAGCTTTGCATTTACACCCATACACTGCACTGCACTATTTATAAATTTGTGTGTCTCATACCCTGTTCAGCTGAACAAAGCTCAGGAAGAAGGGAAGGGATGAAACACTTTAAGCCACCTTTCTACTCCCCCTATTCACAAGCCACCCTGGGACTGCTTCAATTGTTGTATGGCCACCAATGACCCCTAGGGGTGTCCCACCAGCCAAGAACAGGTGGAAAGCTTCAGTACTCTGGCCTCAGCTTCTTCTTCCCAACTAAACCCAATGAAGCATTCTATTGTCATGTCAGCGGCCAAATACCCAGCATGGAAAGCACCCGACAGGGTCTCATTTGGTTGCAATGCTGCACTTGCTGCCCCTTTATATCTTGGGAGATGTAAAAAGGTGACAAAATGCAAGTTAAATTGTGGCCCCTGATTTTCAGATCTAATAGCAGACAAATGAACTTTGTTCTCATGAGGTATAAAATGAGGCTTAACATGATCACTTTTGTTTAATGAAGTTATTTTCTCTACAGACCTCATCTTGTCACATGAAAGGCATGTTCACATTTATAAGAGGAATTTACGAGATAATTAAAACATCCATAGTTTTCTTTTAATCCTTAGAGTCTGACAAGATTACAATGATAACAAATATCACTAAGTCATTTTCCATACCTTACTACCATGTGTGTGCATACAATGAACTCTGGCTTGGAGTTCCACTGATGATAGGTGATATAGTAATGGGTCTGTAACCAGATCCACTGCTGTCCTTTGGTCAGAAAACGATAACAACAAGACTTTCCCTTGCCAAACTGCATCACTGTTAGTAGAAAATGTACACTGCATATATAACAAATTTTAAGAAGTGAAAATTATCTTTTAAAAAAGTACTAAATAATTCTATAGTTAAATATCTTGTACACCACCATCTTTCCGTCTGTGAAATGTCTTCTATATAGCAATATAAACATAAAGAGCACAAACATAACTTATATATATAACTTTTTCTCTGTTTTAAAGGTTGCTCATATCACAGCTAATTAAGTACCTGGCATTGATTTCTAAGTGTGAAAGAGTTGAATGCCATAGCAGAGAAACACAGGATATGAAAGTTTGAAAAGGTGAGACAAATTCTGTGTAGGCTGAAAACCCAAGGAAACCCACTGACTTTAGTGGTGCAATAAGATTGAATGTAATATTTAGCCTTTATTATAAACAGGGAGGTAACAGTTTGAAATTGAAGGGAATTGCCCAGTCAAGAATTCTGCATTTATAAGAATGACAAACCTAAATGTATAAACTTCTTTGGACCAAGTACATCCCTTACTTATCCTGTGATATCAAGGGCTTTGGTACTGAGCCTTGTAAATTAATGTCAACATTTAAAATATTAATTCTGACTGGATAATTCCACTCCTCAGAAGGGTAATACTATATTTTCTCAAATATAAGACAACCTCCCAATGATTAAATGGAAAATTTATCCGTTTGTCATAATTTTCCAGGTATGGAATATAGTAACTGGAAGTTTGCCTTGAATTTCCCATGAATTTTCTGTGCTTCAGCAGGGAAAATAAATCCGGGGGGGGGGGGCCCTGCAGCCCCTTTCCCCCCCTCCTTACTGTCAGACCCTGATTTCTCTGATCACATGGAAGTGAGGCACAAATTTGAAAATACTGCCCTTGTAATAAAGTACTTGATCAATTTGCAAATAAGTGAATTATCAGTCTGGGTTTTTTTTGTTTTTTAATTTTGTCTCTCAGGCCAAACTAGCCAAATAAGTTCCGAATTCTATCGAGTGAGTGGAGCACATTCAAGTCTGTGTAGCGCTACCAGCAGTAAGTATCTGTAAGTATCCTACCTCCCACACACTTTAGCTTGGGGCTTCAGATATGCCAAATCCATGGCAGGCATCCTATGTGCAATCCCCAAGCCTGGAGGCCTTTGGGTTCAGATGCCCCCTAGTCTCACTTGCCCCTAGCCAAAAGGCTATAGGAGTAAGCTGGAGGGAGAGCCTGCGAGCAATTCCTCATCACCATAAATTGTGTAGCCGAGATCTTCCTACTGGGCGGTTATAGTAGGCTGTTGCAGGGGTACCCGTCACAGTACGATGGACAGGTCTCCACCTTCAACTACACCAAGTCATTCAAGGCTGGGAAAAAGGGGATCTCTTCTTCCAGGTGTGTAAAACCACCTGGGCAGAAACTATCATCATGGTATCTCCCCTGCCAGGTATGTAGATCAGTATCAGTATGTTTGCCTAATATAGGTCATACTAGCCAATTGCCCCTCAGGAATGACGGGGGTGAGGGGAGGGGGGAGCATGCAGGGACGGAGCCCTGTGGCCCACCCCCCCCATCTGGGCCCACTCCCCCTTTAACTCCTGCTGCTTGGGGTCCAGGCTCGGGCTGATCTGGTAGCAGTGAAGGAACAAGAGGAGCGGGCTTGGAGCTGATGGGGGTAGGGGGAGGTAGGTGGAGTGGAGCCAGGCCAGGGCCCGAGGAGGGGAGGAGC